GGGAATCGCGCCGGAGAGCAGGCTGGGGGCGGGGCCCCGAACGCCTCCTCCCGCCTCTGCCCCCTGGTGGTCCCGGGGCCCTGGGCGCCTAGGCCCCGGCCGCACGCTGGGTGGGGCGACAGTAGCTGGGCTTGCTGCTGTGCACGCGACGGCTCGGGATGTGCTCCGGTCCGGGGAGGCGGGAGACGGCGAGCTAAATGATAGCCGCGCGGTGTACCGGGAGCAGCCCGCCTTCCTCGCCCCTGGTCTGGACCGCCTCCCGGCCGAGTTATGGCAGAGGTGTGGAAGGGGGCGTAGGTCACTTGCAGACCCCGCATTCAGAGCCAGCCTTGCTCCTCTGCCTCAGCAGTGAAGGGGCCTCTGGCTTCAGCAGGAACCAGGCCACAGCGAGCCGCTTCCCACCTGATCCGTCTCCCCGGGGACGGGGAGGAAGGTGGGCGAGAACATCCTAGGGACAGCCAGGGCAGTCCGAACTCGGATCTCAGGTCTGGCAGCGTGGCTGGAGAATCTTTCTTAACCCCCGCTGTGCCCTGCTGCTCCTCGGAGGGGATGGGTGAGCAGGGCTGTGCAGGGGTGTGATTCATACTGGGACTCCCAGGGAGGCTGTGGGAGCCCCCGCCAAGGGGCCCCCCACCCACGTCTCTGGAAGACCAGCCTGACCGATCCGGTTGTTTTAGGGCCAAGGGAGCTGCGGGAGAGCAGGCCAGAGCGCGGGTTCCTCGGGAACAGGGGCTGCAGAGCCTGCGCTGGCAGCCCGGGCTTCCTCTCGCGTTTAGTGTGGCTGCAGGAGGCAGCGCTTGCGCGGGTGCCCAGTCCTCCCGTGCCTCGTGCTGCACTTCGCGGGAATCCCGTCCCCTTCTTGGCCGAGTGTCTCGGGTCTTGGTCTGCTGCAGGGCAAGCTGATGCAGTGCCAGTCGCTACAGTGCCCAGAAGTCCCGTCACACCCCTAGGTAACAGAGTCAGGCATAGCTTTGGAACTGGGCAAAGGACCAGTCCTTCCTGGACGCCCTGAGATGTCCTCACAGAGCAGTGGATTTCATGGAGGGGTCATAAATCGGCCACTGTCACCATTTCAGAGCAGGAGCAGCCTGGTGAGGAGCTGTACCCTTCTCCCTCCGGCCGTGACAACAGGGACTCGTTAGGCCTGGCCACTGCGGGAGTTTTGAATGGGAGGGGGGCATGTGAGGATAGCTGTTTTTGGAAGGCAGCTTGGCAGGGCTGCGTTCGCTGGCTCAGCACAGAGATGGCAGAGGGCAGGAGGTGGCCCTGTGCGGGGTCTGGAGGAGCCGCGTCTTGATGGATGCTGTCCACTCAGCCCAGCTGGGGCCCCGTGGAAGTGGTCACTTTCCTGAAGCCCACCCAGAGCCCCCGCTGGACCCGTGATTCCCCCCACGAGCCTTCTACCCCAACTGCCATTAATGATGGGAGCAGCTGTCATGTCATGCTGATGACGGCCCTGAGACCTGTGATGGCCCTGACCAGGCAGCAGCTCCGACTGGGTGGATGCTCCTCAACTGCCCCCCGTTTTTCCTCCCCATTTTACAGATGAGTAAACAAAGGCCTGGAAAGGTCATGCTGCCCCACATCACCCAGCTGTCCTTGAACTGTAGCTGTCGCCCAGACTCAAGCCTTGGGTGCTCCCCAAGCACCTCACTGCTTCCATCCATCCACAGGCAGGAGAGCAGCAGGCTGGAGGTCCCAGGTGACACTTCCTCCGGCCCACTCGCCCCATGTCCAGGCCGTCAAGGTGGCCTGTGCCTCCCCCAGACCTTGACTCTGCTCAACTGGGTCTTGTCCCCCTTTGTGTCTGGGGCTTGTCCCCTGCAGACGCCTCCTGCACGTATCACAACAGGGGCATCTGTCTGTGTTTGGGGATCAAGATGTGCAGCAGAGCCTGTCCTGGCGCTCAGAGTCCCTGTGGCTTTTTCTCCTGCTCAGGCTCGCTTCTCACTCAGCGCCCTGGCTGTCCCCAGTCCCTGGTGTACACACCTCATGTGGTCCCCTGCTCCCTCTGCCATCTGCTCTAGTGTTGAGCACACCTATTCTCAGGGCGACTGGAGAAGCCCTGTGTGTTGTCCACTGACCTTTCTGTCACCACCTACCCTGTGAGTTGTCCTTCTTGTCCTCGTGTCCAGTCTTTGCAAGCCTCTCATGGCGCTCCATGAACTGCTCCGATGGGAGCAGTGTGCCACCCCAGGGTGGGTCTGTCCCCTGTGGGGTGTAGATCTGGGGTCTTGGTGTTGATGGCATTGCTGTGGATTTTGGTGTGTTTTGCTTGAATCTGGGGCAGGATTCTTGGAGGTCCCTTGAGTTCTGGCAGTGCTGAAATGCAGTTTGGTGCTGCTGGGGCGGAAGGCAACTCCTGGGGTTCTGCCCGTCGGGTGGATGAGCTGTCCGGTGTTGCCCAGCTGACACTCGGAAAGCCAAGGAGGAGCCACCTGTGAGGCCACTGCTCCCTGGGTCTCAAGGGAACCAAGCTGACTCCGAAGTGGTCTTTCCTACCCCCTGGGGGCCGGGCTGTCCGAGGGGACTGGGGGACACATAGCTCCCCAGGGTAGCACCTGAGCGCCATTGGCGTGGTGTCTGCTGTGTGTCCCGTGCTGGGTGCACACCCTGGCAGGTCCCACTTAGAACAGTCCCTGCCCGTGCAGGCAAAGGTGCACCGTCCCCAGACCCTGTTCTGCCGTGTGCCATCAGGGCTGACGGCATGGTACGTGCTCAGAGGTGCACCTTCGTCTCTGCCCTCTGAGCGCTCCTAGCAAGCTCCACATCAGTGTCTGCCCACCCAGGGGCCCCACCCTGCCTCCTGGGCATGGTCTGGGCTTGGGTGGAGTTGCTGCTGTCCTCCCAGGTCTGGTCCAGCACCAGGCTAAGGACAACTTCTCCAGGGCTGTCTTCGTTGCATACCTGTGTCACCTGTGTACCTCTTGTCACTTCAAACCTTGTCTACCAAGTATGGCTTGTTTTGGAGCCAGGTTGTAGGCAGAGATTGGCCCAGGGGAGAGAACTGGGCTGAGGGTGAATGAGGGAGGGAAGCCCCGGGGGCATTTCCCTGAGCAAAAGCGAGGCCAAAGGACTGTGCCCACATCAGGCTGGTAGAGCTGAGCCCTAAGTCCGGGCCTGCCCACTCTGCCCTGGGAACATGAGGCCCGGAAGGGGACCTTAAGCTGTACCTTGCTCTGCTCCAGTCCTCTCAGAGCTGCCCCCAAAAGAGGTGACCGCAGCCAGAGACCCTCCTGGCCAGGGTGGGTGCTGCTCTGGCCTCAAGGGAGCACCCCAGCCTCCAGGCAGAGAGAGCTGCAGGCCCCAGGGACCAGGATAATCCCCGCCTTCCACTTCCAGGCCAGGCTCTGAGAGGCAAGGAGCCATATCCGAGGCAACGGAGCGGGGGCTCAGAGTGGAGATGATGGCCTCCTGGGACAGGAGGGGCTTCCTGGCGGGCTCCCTGGGTGGCAGCCAGGGCCCCTGCCCATCTGTCAGTGGTCCTCAGGGCCAGCGCAGGGGCTCGTCTCCCCTTCAGACAGGCCAGGGCTGGGGAGGAGGTTGACTACAGTCAGGGGCACTGCCTGGTCACCAGCTGTCAGGACGCGCCCCCATGCACAATGACAAAGAGGCCTGTAAAGCAGGTACAAATTAACAAAAACTAAATGCTTAATTGCCCTGGCATGCCAAATACCAAATGCAGGCGCTGCAGCAGAGTGTAGATTCCCAAGCCTCCACAGCGCGGGTGGTGCCATTGGACTTTGGCATTGCCATTTCCTTGGTGTCGCCCGGGGGAGCTGTCCAGGCACACGCTGACCCCGCACCAGGCTCAGCCTGTCAGGGTGAGGAAGTGAGGGGAGATGCGGGAGGAGGTGTGCAGGTGACCCTGCCTGGAAGCCACCGTCCCCGGGGTGCCAGCTTCAGGCCTTGCTGCAGCGCTAGCTGTTCAAAAGATGTGGCCCTGTGGTCACTATCGTGCTGCCCCTTTTTCTGGACCTGGTTCCGGTTCCTCTTCTCTCCCTGCCCTCCCCAGCCCCCGGTCACTGTGATTCATTGACATTGGGGTCACCTGTGGACCAGGCACGGTCAAGCATTTCCCAAGACAGGACCCTGCAGGGAGGGGCCTTTGTCCCCAGCCCCCAGGTGACAGAACTCCTTTAATCTGCCCGAGGTGGAGGGGCAGGGCTAGACAGCAGCTTTGGTGTCAATGACAGGAGCTGGAGCTCAGCCTCACGGTAACTGTGGCGTCCCAGGCCACTGACAAGCCCCGGAAACGGTGGAGGCAGAGCTGGGCCTTTGTATTTCCAATCACTCTGTGACCTGTGTCATTGTGTCCTTGTAACAGGTGGGTGCCGTGGCACCCACTTTGCAGGGAGGGGTGCCTAGACTGGGAGGGCAGGGACTTCCTGGGTCACACACCCCAAAGTTGGCGGCGCCAAGGCCCACACTGTTTAAACAGTGGGGCCATCTATGGGGGTGGCTGCCCGGGGCAGGGGACGAAGAGCAAGACCAGGACCGGGCTCAAGCAGCTGCTGCCTTTCCTTCGTTGGCGCCAGATTCCCGGGCTGGGGGGCTTTGTTGGGCCTCCCCTCCCCCATGCGGACAGGCCGAGCACAGATCCCCAGCGTCTGGGCCGGGATTATCCTGCAGCTTCCACCTGTCACAACATGTGTGGCCAGCAAGGGCCACTGTGCTTGTCCCCATCACCAAGGAGACAGCTGTCACTAGCCCCACCCCACGGCTTCCTCTGCTCTCTGGGATGTTTTCTGGGAAGCCCCGAAGCCATGTCCCCTGGAGCCCCGGGGGAGCACTGTTCCTGCTGTTGGGCCTGAGCTCTTTGCGCCCATGTCTGAGCCCGAGGCCCTCGGGGGCTGCTGGCCCTGGGTCCCCATGTGGATGCGCTGCATCTGGTAAGTCCAGCTGCTTTCCAGGCGGTAGGGCAGCAGTGCTGCGTGGGGTCCCTGCGGGGGAGGAAACAGCAGCACCCGGCCTGCCTCCCTCTGCTCCGCTGGTGTTTCCTCCTCCGCCTCACCCGGACCCCACATCCAGCACCCCTTCCCTGGTGGCCTGGAGCCAGGGGCTCACATCTCACAGGAACTGGGGTTTTCCCAGCTGATACCACCTTCCTCGGTCCACAGGGCGAAGCCGACGCACACGATGGTCAACTGCTGGTTCTGCAACCAGGACACGCTGGTGCCCTACGGAAACCGAAACTGCTGGGACTGTCCCCACTGCGAGCAGTACAACGGCTTCCAGGAGGTGGGGCCGCGGCGGGGTGGGCAGGTGCTCCCGAGCCAGCGCCTGCAGGCCCCCACGCCCCGGGTCGGTGCAGCCCCCGCCCAGACCTCTCCTCGGAGCTCACTGCTCCCGGGCACACAGTCCCGCTCCACACTGCTCCCCTGTCAGCCTGTAGCCAGCCTGGGAACAGACAGGGCTGCTTCCAGTCCAACTTCACTTACAAAACTGGCAGGCCGCAGTGTGCACACTGAGACCTGGGAGCCAGGTCCTGGGGACAGAGCCATGGGAGGTGGGTGCTGGGGACAGGCGCCCGAGCTGGGTGGCCTTGTCCGCAGCAGCTGGGCCTTCCTTTCCATGTGAAGCGTCTCAGAAGAAAGCTGCTGCTGCTCAGTTGAGAAAGAATGGCCATTTCAGGTCCTGACGCGTCCCCACGTGGGCCTGGGCCTGAGCCCGGGCCAGAGCCAGATCAGGAAGGGGCTCCTCGCTGACCAGGACGCCTCTCCCCGCAGAACGGCGACTACAACAAGCCCATCCCTGCCCAGTACCTGGAGCACCTGAACCACGTGGTGAGCAGCACGCCCAGCCCCCGAGACCCCGCGCAGCCGCAGCAGTGGGTGAGCAGCCAGGTGCTGCTGTGCCGCAGGTGCAGCCACCACCAGACCACCAAGATCAAGCAGCTGGCTGCCTTCACGCCCCGGGAGGAGGTGAGCCCACCCCCACTCTGCCAGGCAGAGCCACTTCCTTCTCTGGCTCCCCTGCGTCTGTGGCCAAGCCTGGGAACGCCAGGGAAGTCCCAGGCCTGCAGGGCAGAGGGGTTTGTCCTGGGCAGAGGCAGATGTGGGAGCCATCGCGTCCTCGTCCCTCAGATCCGTGCGGTCTGTGGGTGCCTGGGCAGAGGACCGCCTGGCTCTGGGAGTGGAAGGAAGCAGGTGGAGCTGGGAGCTCCCTCCCCTGGGTTGTCTGCGGGACCTGGGAGCCTGGTGACCTGGCTTCTCGTCCTGCCTGTGCCCTGCTCACCCAGACTTTGCCCAGCCAGGGGTCCCATGACCTCAAGAGGCAGATCCCAGCTGAGGCACAGGCACCCTGGCCTTCCCAGTCCTGCCGCGGAGCTCAGGGGTCTGCAGGAGGGGAGGGAGGTGGGGCTTGGCACCAGGCTTGACTGGCGCACAGGGTCCCCACGAAGGTCACACTGATAACCGTCCTGGCCACTACAGACAAACAGCACAAGTGCATTGCTGTGTCCCTGGGGGAGCTAGGGAGGGACGTGGCTTCCAAGCTGTCCCCGAGGCCCACAGAACCCTTCAGCTCCCGCCAAGCCCAGGCCTGGCCAGCAGCCTCTAGTGTGTTCTGGAGCCCCTGCTCCGGTCCTGGCTGGTCTGTCTGCCACGCCCAGGCGGCATCAGCCCGGAGCCCCTCCCCGCAGCCGCATCGCCATTCTCAGTGGCGGACAATGGCGGACGAGGGAAGCAGTCCAGGGTTGGGGGACTCTGCCGGTGTCGCCACGTGTGAGGCCAGGGCCTGCACCTGAACCTCTGTCCCCATACACGAAGGGCAAGTACGACGAGGAGATCGAGGTGTACCGCCACCACCTGGAGCAGATGTACAAGCTGTGCCGGCCATGCCAGGTGGCCGTTGAGTACTACATCAAGCACCAGAACCGCCAGCTGCGCGCCCTGCTGCTCAGCCACCAGTTCCGGCGCCGGGAGGCGGACCAGGCCCAGGTGCGGCGTGAGGCCCGAGCTTTGGGTGTGAAGCCTCAGGAAACCTCTGGAGCTCGGGGCACCCAGCCGCCTTGTGTCACCAGCTGGGATGGGTGTGTTCCTGAGGACAGTGACCAGGGTCACGATGGGTGCTTGCTGCTGTCCCTAAGCACCTTCCTGACCCTCATGGCAGCCCTTATGCTCCGCTCTCAGGCACTGTGACGCTCGTCACAGCTGCGGGAACCAAACCCAGGGAGGCCGAGAGACTGGCACAGAACCATGCAGCTGGTGCTGAGCGGTGCCAGGGTTTGAGCCCAGAGTGTGTGGCTAAAGTACTAACTCGCGCGGCAGCCGCTAGTTAGTGGAATGTTCTGGTTGCTTAATAAGTCGGGTCTGCCTGTCCGCACAGCAGGACACCGGGGGGCCCTGTCCTCAGACCTGGGGTTTCTGTTCCATCCCAGCCTCCTGGGGCCGGGACTGAGCTGCTCATTGCTATTTTTTTTTTTTAATTTAACTCTTGCCAGAGTTCCCTGCACTTGATTGTAGTTTAGCACCAAGCGCGGTGGGAACTTCCGGTGAGGACTTGACCCCGGGAGTGAAGCTTGAGGAACTGTCACAGTGTGACAAAGGTTTCTTCGGAAGCAGGGGGCACGGAGCGCAGAACAACGCAGCAGCAAGAGGGGGCAGAGGGCAGCTCTGGGCCCCGGGCTGGGTGCTCTGGGGTCCTGGCCGGCACCCCCGACCAGCGTGGGCACGGGGCGCTGAGGACGGCTCTGCGGTGCCTGCCTGACCTGTCTCCCCGCCCCCCAGAGTTTCAGCTCCTCTGCCGCGAAGGCCCCGGTCCAGGTCATCCTGCTCCGCGCCTTGGCCTTCCTGGCCTGCGCCTTCCTGCTGATCACAGCGCTGTACGGCCCTAGCAACCCCTTCACCCTGGGGGTCGCCCTGCCCCCAGCCCTGCCACCCGGCAGCAACAGCTCGGCCGCACCGGACAACAGCACCGCCCCAGGGACTGAGGGCTGGCGGCAGCTGCTGGACCTGCTGCCCGAGCACGCGACAGAGAAGCTGCTCGAGGCCTGGGCCTTCGGGCAGAGCCACCAGATGAGCATTGTGGCCGTGGGTCTGGTCACCTGCCTGCTGGCCATGCTGCTGGCTGGCCGCATCAGGTGCGTGTGGGGCTGGGCACCTGGGTGGGCGGGGACGCTGGCACACAGCCCTGTCTGAACGCTGTGCGCCATGCAGCCAATGAGGCCTCTGCGCTCCGGGCCTGGGAGTCTGGCAGGCCTTAAAGGGGCCCGGGCACGGAGCCAGCCAAGCACCTGTCCCCTGTTGAGGTGGGCCTGGTCACCTTCCTCCTCCACCTCCAGCCCTCCTGGGAGGTGGAGTGATGGTGACCACCTGGCGCATTGGCTGCAAAGCTCAAGCCAGGTCCTCTGGGCCCAGTGTCCATGCACTGCACCTGCAGTGGCAGCAGTGGCCCTGTAAGCCCCCCTGGGGCGTGGAGGCCGAGGACGTGCGGACTGGCTCGGAGCCAGCAGGGCCCGGTGCTGGACAGGAGCAGCGGGGCTGGGGTCCGATCTTCTCCCCTGGGCACTTACCGTCCCGCCTCCCGCAGGCTCCGGAGGATCGACGCCTTCTCCGCCTGCCTGTGGGCTGTGCTGCTGGCGCTGCACCTGGCCGAGCAGTACCTGCAGGCGACCTCGCCTGGCTGGCTGGACACGCTCAAGCTCAGCACGATGTCCCTGTGCTGCCTGGTGGGCTTCACGGCAACCGTGGCCACAAGGAAGGCGACGGGCCCGCGGAGGTTCCGGCCCCGAAGGTCAGAGCAGCAGCAGTGACTGCGGGGGGAGGACAGACGGATGGATGGGCCCGTGACTCGCCGTCCGGAGGAGGCGTCCCTCAGCCTTGTCTTTTCTTACTTCCCTTCCTGCCAGATCCCAGGGCCTGGCCTGGCCCCGCATCCTCCCCTTCGCCACCCACCAAGGTGGCCCCCATCTGAGGTGCTTGCCAGGTACCCCGTAGCTGCTCACCACTGCCACCACCTCTCTGGCCTGAGACCCTTTCTCAGCGCCGGTACCCCGGCAGCACCCACGCAGCCTGCCCCACCCTGACCCCCGGCTCCCGCTGAGCTCCTGGGGGCCTGTGCTGCATGGCCTGAGCGCTCAGGCTGCTGGGCGGGCCCGGGCCACGCAGCAGGGTGCCCGAGGACCAGAGTAGAGCCGCCGGCTGTCCCCACCGGGGAGCCTTGCACCTGGTGCGTCCTCTGGGTCCTGCTTGCAGCCAGGCTGCCTCCTGGGGTTTGCTACCCAGTTCCTGCCCTGAGACAGTCCCCAGAGTGAGGTCCCGGCCTCCCTCCCAAAGGGACGGCACAGCCCTTGGTTCCTGCCTGGTCTTGCTGGAGGTGTGAGATGAGCCCTGCCCGTGGGGTGCAGTATTTTGGGGACAGCAGGTTCCCTCCAGCAGCCAGGCCGTGGGGGGAGGTCCTGTGGGCCACACAGGAGGACTTGGCCCTTTTCCCATACAGTGCCCGGGAGAAGCCCAGGGAAGGGCCCCGAGGGATATATTGGCTGTGTGACACCAGGTCCCTGTCACCTGTCCTCTGGCCTGTCACTGGCTGCCTCACAGCAGCGCTTGGAGGGTGCCCTCCATTTCCGTTGGGTGCTGCACACCCTCCAGGCCTCTGCCTCATCCTCGTCTCTGACAGGGCCACCCAGGGATGTGGCCCCCAAGATTGTCACCCCAGGGCAAGGCCCAGAGGTGCTCCTCATGGCTGTGTGTGGTCCTGGCCCGGACCCTGGGGCGTTGGCCTCTGCGTATGTGAGCGTCACTTGAGAAGCACGCAGGGACACGCCCTGCCGTTGAGGTGCTGTCCACACACACAGGAAGTCCTTGGCCTGTGGTGCCTCGAGCGCCCCAGCTGGAGTGTGCCGCAAGGCCTTACCGTGCCATGGGGCACAATGCCCTCTGGTGGTGCATGCTCCAAGTGCAGTTACTCCACTGCTCAGGGAGGACAGCTGGCACACCTGCGTGGCAGTCACAGCAGAAACCACCAGCTCCCTAGCCTGAGGGCACAGGCCGCAGGAGGCGGTGGCTGGCCAGCCCTGCCGTGGCGGTCCTGTTCCATTCCAGGGTCCTCAGAGGCCACCTACCCTCTGCACCTCTAGGGTTAGATAGAGCCTCCACCCTGCTGTGTTTGCGGTGCCCCCAGGGGTCTGGGAGCCACAGGGGCTTCTGTGTGACTTTGGCTCGCTGGGCCCAGCTTGTCCTGTGTGGCGTCACACAAGAAACCACCTCCCCCGGCCGGGGATGTAGCTCAGCGGCACCTGCTTGGCAAGCGCAAGGTCGTGAGTTCGATTCCTGGTATCAAGAAAAAAAAAACCACCCCTAAAACATGGAAGAGGCCTCAGTCCCTCAGCTCAGCGTGGGGGCACCAGGATGCATGAGCCACAGCAGCCCCTAGTGGCTCTGAATCCTGAGGGGTTCAGGCCCAGCCCTTTCTTCACTCTAAAAAGCAGCCTCAGCAGGGAGAGGAGGGCTGGGGCTGGTCTGCCACCCGCATGCACCCTTATGTCACTGCGGGTCTACTGTTCTTAGGAAGCTGACAGTGCAATGCTAATTTCTGCATTTTGGCATTGGGTAAGAGCAGGATATGTGTGTGTGTGTGTGTGTGTATTTAAGTTAAATTATTTATAATACTGGAGCCAGCTCTGGCTGGCCAGGATCCTCTGCTAGGCAGTGCCTCTCCTGCCCCCTGGTGGCTCTGAGAAGGCATGTCAATAAGGTTTCCTGGCCTTTTTGTAGAGTTTTGTGTGACTTAAAAATTATCTGTCTCTTAAGTAAGTCTCGTTAGACAAAGTGCCAGCAGCTCCTGTTGTGGCTGGCAACGGCTGTGCAAGTGCAGACACCTGTGGGTGGTGGGGACAGGGTGGGATCGTACAGGGAGAAGGTAGCTGCCCCTGAGAGGTTGGAGGGGGGTCAGCCTTGTGCAGCCTGTGGGTTGGGGTCCCCTCCCCGGGCCAAGAGGTGCCCTAGTAACACTTGTTCTGGAGTAAACTTGGACCAACCTCTGCTGCCCCCGCCCCCCGCCCCATTCTGGAAAGGCCTGTGACCTCTGTCCTCCTGTCTTTTCGTATAGTAGAATGTGGATTGTCTAGTGCCCCTAACCGCTGTAACCTCCACCCCGGCCCTAGTTGTCATGTTCTGGATGCTGTGTTTTCAATAAATGCCTCCCGGGCCCTGTACTTCCGGTTGGCGTCAGGTATCACGGCGTTTTTCTTTTTTCTTTCATGTTTCTTCAGAAGTGCTGCTGTGCCCAGGCTGGGTGTGGGGTCAGGCTTTGGGGTGCAGCTGTGCCCACGGGAGCCCGGGTGGGAAGCAGGTCTGAGGGCTGGTGACAGGGACTTGGAATGGCTCAGGAGGCCCAGCTGTCCTCGCCCACCTCAGCTGTGTTACCTGTCTCCTAAAACGGCTCAAAACATCTCTCTGCTCGGCTTCTAATGGAGCTGGACAGGAGCAGACTGCACAGCTCCCCTGGGGTGGGGTGACAGTCCAGGCCGCCCTCCCCACGGTCCCCACCTGCCTTGGGGGACGTGCAGCCTTGGCTCCAGGCTCTGGGTCCCTGGGCGCTGAGCATAGGCAGGCGGGGGGCCTCTGGCCAGAGCAGCTCGGAGCCCAGCGGAGCCAGGGTCCCTTTAGCAGAAGGAGCCATGGGAGGTCCAGTGATGGCACAAGAGCACACACACATCCAGAGTGGCCTTCCCGCAGTGCAGCGCTCTGGGTGACACCAAGCCAGGGACAGTCCCTTTGCCCGGTGGCTGGGTTCTTGGGCTTCTCCAGGGAGGGGCCCTGGCGTGAGCAGGTCCTGGGAACGTGCTGGCCAGACCCAGCTGTGCCCACCCCACGGTGCCAGGAAACTCGGGTCCCTGCTGGCTCCCCCTGAAGGCTGCAGCTCTGCCCTCCCACGCAGCTCCTAACCATGCTCGCGGGGCCCTCGGGAGGGGACGCCCAGCGCAGAGTCCTGCTGCCACCTGCTGGCCGGGCCTAGGCATCCGCCCGCTCAGGCCTGCACCTGCACCTGCTGCGGTGCCGCTGTCACCCGTGGAGACCCAGGCACAGTCAAGCGAGCCCATGGGTGCCACCCGTGCCTCCGCCCTTGAGGCCTGAAAGTGTCGGTCCCCACACCACTTCCAGCCGTCCTGCCAGATGGTGTTACAGTCCTAACGTGGGAGCGCCCACACCTGTGGTTTCCTTGGGGTTTTTTGTTTTGTTTACCTTTTTGAGACAGGGTCTCACTATGCAGTTCAGGCTGGCCTTGAGCTCACTTTGTAGCCCAGGCTGGTCTCGAACTTGCAACGATCCTCCTGCCTCAGCCTCCAGGCGTGCGCCACCATGCCCAGCTGTGTTGTTTTTTGTTTTGATTCAGTTTGGTATTTTCTGGTGCATACCTAACAAACTCTACCACTGAGCTATACTCCTGGCCCCCAGACTTTTTTGGCTAGAGGCAGAGCCCTCCCTAGCATCTTGGGAGTGTCGGACAGGCCCAAAAGACAGGTCAGCTGGTAGAGCAAGGGCACATCCTGCCTGGGTCCCAGTTGACCAGGTCCCTCTGCGGGTTTACCCTGCCTCGATTTTCCTAGACACAGCTTCGCCTTTGCTGGCCTTCTGGCACTTGCCAAGAGACTGGGAAGGTCACGTGATTCTACAGGAAGGCCTGCGCCTTCCTTGCAAAACTCCTTTAAAGGGACAGGGAGGTAGAAAATACCCGGGAAGGTGGGCAGTGCCCGTTGTGGCCAGTGACACCCCCCCAGCACTGTGGTATGATGGCCTTGGCACTTTAGCCAGCCCCCAGCTCACCGCGGGCCTGAGCCTGCCTGCCCTTCCGTCAGCAGTGTCCGCTGGGCCATTTGTCCCCTGGGACCGAGGTAAGGCTGGACGCCCGAGGGCCATCCAGACGGCAGACTAATGTATTAACTGCCTTTGCCTCCCCCTTGTAATCGGGTGCCTTAATCGGAAGCATGGTGGACGTGCTGGCCTGGGACCCCTGGTCCTGTTGAGTGATTTGTACTTCTCGAGTTAAAGAGACACTGTCACCTCTGTCTTTTGGGCCACCTTGCGGTCGTTTCCAGGGCTTTTCTAAGTGTGATTCTGCTGCATCCCTGTGGGAGCGACCTCTGGGGACCCTCAGCCCGGCCACCTCCCGGAAGTGTCCATGGGGCAGGCAGCAGTCCTCCCAGGCAGGGCACGGGGGCCTCGGAGCTGTGTGCCCAGCGGGGCTGCCCAGGGCGTCGCTGAGCTCCGTGGGGCTTAGGGCGGAAGGAAGTGGCCCACAGAACCCAAGGCCACTGAGTCTCCTTGCATCGGGGCAGGGCTGGCGCGAGGTTGGCACGGGTGACAGTGCCGCTTTAATGGCGAGACCGTAGTGGAGGTAGTTTGCTGTGAGCCTGAGGGCCGAGGGGCATGCAGGGCGGGCTGGTCGTGCTCGCACCCCGCCACCCGCTCCTAATGGTGCGAATGGACGGCTGCTTTTCCGCTTCCACTAACGCACGCCTCCTCTGGAGCCCACTCCGGGCCCCTGGCACCCCCGAGCAGGGGCGGGCGCTGCTGTGCCAGGTGACCCCGGCCCTCAGCCCACCCGCTCCTCTCTCCTTGCCCGCAGGTGCTTTCCTGGAGATGCCTCAGGCTTCTTCCCCGCCAGCCCCAGCCTGGTCACGCCCCGCCCCAGCGTCCCCGGCGCCTCACCGGCCCTGTTCGTCCCCACCCCACCCGGCTTCCTGCCGCTCGCGAACCAGCAGCTGTTCCGGTCTCCCCGTCGGGCCTCACCCTCCTCACTGCCAGGCCGCCTCAGCCGCGCCCTCTCGCTGGGCACCATCCCCACTCTGACCCGAGCAGGTAAGCGGCAGAAGGGGCTGGACAGTGACACGGACACTGGCAGGGCAAGGTGGGGCGGTGCTGCTCAGTGGTTAGCGCTCCTGTTCAGAGCTTGGGTAGACCACTGCTTTACTGCCTGTGAGCAGGGGACGTGACCACGAGACCTGTTGCCCTTCCAGAGTGCAGTGGGAGGAGAGGGCACCTCGAGGGGGGCAGCGAGGGCCCCATCCAAGGGGCTCTGAAGGCACTGGGGTCTCTGAGCGCTCGCTGGGTCTCACCTTTGAACCACGCTGTGCTGAGTGAGACCCGGACCTGGGCCCCGGGCCCAGCAGGCAGGCATTTACCACTCCGGTCAGTTGTATAAGTTGCCCAGGCTGGGCTCCAAGTTGCAGTCCTCCTGCCTCAGCCTCCCAGTGTGCTAGGATTGTAGGTGTGCACCACCACACCCTGCTTGAATCCACTTCGCCATCTGCTTGCGGCCCCGGCACGTCCGTGGTGAACTTGGCCCCCTTTGGGAAGCCGCCTCCGCACCTGGCAGGTGTCGCTGGCCCGCTCGCTGTTGCGGCGGCTTCAAGGCAGAATGCGGGTGCATCCCGGTCAGCCCAGCTTCTCTTTACTGAGGCTGCACGGCCACTCCTGCAGTCGGGGCTGCAGCTCCGTGCCGACCCCCCAGCCCCAGTTCTCCGGTGACTCGTCTAGGGTGCTGTGTGGGTGGGCGTCCCCAAGACGGAGACGGTCACTGGAGCTAGGTGGGTGACAATTCAAGTAAAGATGTGGCCGCCGCTAGCGCAGAGACCTGGACTCGGAGTGGTCCTGCGTCACCAAACGGCCGCACCGGTCCCCTGCAGAGCGTTCCTCAGCCCCTGCCCCGCGTCAGGCACGGCACCAGACTTGGGGACCCAGTGGCAGGCAAGGCCACGGGCACAAGCCCAGGGTGTTTGTCCCTGGGGGTGGGACAATGGGGAGGGAGGGCAGGAGGGGGGGGCGCATGCGGTGCCGGCCCGGAGCCCGGGCAGCAGAGCAGCAGCTGCCACCTCTGGATCTTTCCACACACGGCTCTCAGCTGGGCACTGGGAACAGCCAGTGGGGCTTCTGCGGCTGGGTCAGGAAGCGGCAGCCTGGTCAGTGCCCCGTGGGGTCCCTTGCAGGCATCTGGGGCTGGGCAGTGGAGCAAGAGGCTCACGCCGACCTTGTGCAGCAAGGGCACAGAATGAGGAACAGAGACGCGGGCAGCCGCTGGCTCTTGTGTGACCCGAGGGCCCTCCCGCCCATCCCGCAAGCGAGGCTCAGCGCCGTGCCTGTTTCCGTGAAAGCCCCGGGGGTGGCCGGGCTGGAGAGGGGCTCGTGGTCCCCGGGCCTGATGTGTGGATTTCTTTCTGTCCAGACTCAGGGTACCTGTTCAGTGGGAGCCGCCCGCCATCCCGGGTGTCTCGCCGCCAGGAGGTTCCCCTTTCAGGTAAGGAGGGCGAGAGCCCGGAGAGGGGGGCTGCGGACGCCACGCAGGGGCCCGGGGCGGGTGGAGCCGGGGAAGCAGTGGTTCCAGCATTAGCTTTGGGCCACGCACGCCTGTGCAAGACACCAGACCCCGCGCCTGCGCCTCCTGTGGAGCGGCGGGGGGTAGGGTCGGATCTGTAGTGGGGATGGCCCCGGGCTCTAGCCACTGCAGGGCTTGGGCGGGCAACCTCCAGTCAGGCTCCAGTGGTTCCGCCCGGGCTCGGGGCAGGCGCAGGGCCAGGGCTCCGGACCGCTCTCCCCCACCTGCTCAGGGCCAGCCGGGGCCCCCGGTGACAGCGGCACCCCTTCCTGAGTCACTGCCCTCACGGTTCTGTCGCTCTCCCTGCAGACTACTTCTCTGTGCTGTCGGGGCACCGCCTGCCCTCCCCTCTCCCGTCCCCAGCGCCCTCCGTGGCCAGCTCGGTGGCCTCCAGCTACGGCTCCCTGCGCCACCGCAGGCCGCTCATCAGCCCCGCGCGGCTCAACCTGAAGGGGCAGAAGCTGCTGCTCTTTCCGGCAGCCCCCGGGGAGCTGCCCGGCACCCCCAGCAGCTCTGAGGAGCACACGCCGCACAACGGCAGCCTCTTCACCCTCGAGCCGCCCCCACGGCAGCCTGTTCCGGACAGGGACGCCAAGCACAGCCCCGGTGAGCACCGCGCCGCGTCCGCTGTGGCCGTCAGCGCCCTCTGCCGGCGGGGATGGGAATGGGGGCCTTGGTCACTGCCCGTGTGGCTCTGGGGAACCAGGGCCCTCTGGGAAATTGCCATCTACGGCGGATTTTTCTCTTTTTCTTAAATTTGAGTAGGGCTCTCCATTCTCAGGGATCCATTGCAGACTCAGCATCGTGGCCAAGGCTGCCGGTCACAGACGTTTTTGCTTGGCTCAACATTTAAAACATTTTTACTTGGGCTCTTAGCTCCTTGAACATCTAGGACTTCCTCACAGATGTTTTTTGGGGTTTTTTTGTTTTGTTTGTTTTGAAACAGGATCTGGCTGTGTAGTTCAGGTTGGCCTTGAATTCACTATGTAGCCCAGGCTGGCCTCGAATTCACAGCAATCCTCCTGCCTCAGCCTCTCCCATGCTGGGATTATAGGCGTGTGTGCTGCCACACCCACTCTTTCTCACAGATGCTTAGATTTCCTGTGTGTAATGATATCGGAAGATCCAGCCACACTGGCTGGATCCTGGCCAGGCAGAGGACGGGGTAATCGGGCTTCTAGGTCCCCAAATCTGCCCTCGCGCCCTGTCACCTCTGCCCGGCAACCTGCACAGCCAGGGTCCTAATGGGTTCACTGAGGACCCGGCCTTCTGCAGTCAGGGTGGTGAGTGGGTCGGGCTGGTGCCCCGGGGTTGAAGTGGAGCTGTCCCCGGTTGTCACTGGGGGCATGCTGAGACCACGCCCGTCTCCCCGCAGACCTGCGAGCCCGGCCGGAGCGTGGCAGCGCCTGCAGCAGCCGCTCCATCAAGAAGGAAGACGATTCTTCCCAGTCTTCCACCTGCGCGGTGGACACCACCACCCAAGGGTGCTCGGAGGGGGCCGCCGCCTGGAAGGGTCTGTACCCCAGCCACCGCCACCTCCTGGGGGCCAGACCTCCGGCGTGGAACTGTAGGGTCTGTGGCGCAGGAAGGAATTCAGGGTCCTTGATGAGCCTCCCCTGCCCCGGCCCTGAGACTGCGTCATGGGAGGCTGAGCCCGCCGAGGCTCTTCAGGGTCAGCTGATCTTGATTTCGGGCAGATTAGGAGCTCGGCTGTCGGCTGCCCCAGCCACGTTTCAGGTGCTCAGACCACGTGTGGCCCGGGGCTGCCGCTGTGTGGGGCGCCAGGTCCCGGTGCCGAAGCCTAGCGGGGGGCACATCCAGAGTGGCCTGGGTGGAGCTGCAGGTGGGGGCACCGTGTCGGGCGTCGGGCCTGCGCCTGGGTGCTGAGCTTGTGCTCGGACCCTGGCCCCGTGCTCGCTGACTGGCAGGGCGCGGGGTCCCTCAGCGAGCGAGCGACACGAGTTCCGTCCCCGGAGGGAGGCGGGCGTGTGGTGGGGGAGGCAGAGTCGCGCGGGCCGGGGTGCTGTGGAAAGTCCCTGCTGCCTCCCTTCAAGGCCCGGGCTGGGTCCTCATCCCCCAGGCTGCCATTCCCTGGGAAACAAGTGTCGTGGTCACTGCGCGGCCCGGGTATGGGCGCAGGGCAGTGAGGCCCGGGCCTGCGTGGTGGTCTGGGTCCCTTCCGGCAGGGAGCCCTTTGGGCAGGGGTGGATGTGGGTGCCCGACACGCTGCTCCCTCTGGAGGACCGGGGCGTTGGGACGCCGCCGCGCCCCTCTGATGGGCTGTGTCCCTCTGCAGGGCGACTCGGCCCCTCCCTGATCCGAGGCCTCCTGGCCGTGAGCTTGGCCGCCAACGCCGTCTTCACCTCAGCCTACCTGTACCAGAGCCTGCGCTGAGCGCCCGGTGCCCAGAGGCAGTGCCCGGGGCGAGCCCGTCACCACTGCCACCAGGACCCTCCGTCTCCAGGGCCCCTGACCTCCCGGGACACCGAGCGCGTATCCTCAGGACCTGCTCCTCCCCCACTGCCACCTTGGCTGACATCGGTCTCGTTTGGTGCTGACACCTTGACCCCGAGGCCTGGGATTCTGGGGCGGGCTGCCTGCCAGGGCCCCCTGCCCACTGCCCATGCCTGCCCGGCGGGAACCTCCCCGCTGCCGCTGGGGCCACCTCTCTGTGCTATATCCCTGGCGCCGAGCCAGCTCCAAGCCCCACCAAGGTGCAGAGGACCTAGGACGAGGAGGCCCTGTCCTCGGGAGAGAAGCCCCTCCAGGGGGGCCTGCCTCTTCCTGTGGCTTCAGGACCCCCAGGTTCCCCTCTTGCTGTGTGCACCCCTACTCTGTGATTCCGATGCCCCTGGCCCCTCGCTCACACTGCCCACGGGGACCTGGCCTGGCCCCTGGCGCCGCACGAGCTGTGATCTCAGATGACACTGGACCCTTGCCAACCCTCAGACCCCACCATCCCCCCTTTGTCCTCCCATCTCCCCCAGGCTCCCCTGGACCAAGGTCTCCCGGGCCTCCAGCCAGCCACCTTCCACCCCACCCGTCGGCCCCTCCATACTCCAGACCCCTCGATACGCCGCCAGTCCAGGGGCTGAGGGCCCTCGGCCTGGTCCTAACGTGGAGCCACGGGGCTCGGCTCTCGCCACCCACGCCGGTGCAGGCGATCCGCGCCGGGTGATCTCTGGGACTTGGGAGGGAGGGCGGGCGGGTGGGCGTGGGACCTGAGAAGGGGCTTCACTGTCATTCAGGGATAAAGTTTATTTTATTTTTCTACTGCCGCTGCCGGGTGAGGCGCTACCTGACTAGCAGGACGCCTCCTCGCGCGTGGGTGCTCTGTCCGTTCCTGTCCCATGGGCCACGGGGTGGTGCTGGACCCCAAGTCCCCTGCCAGGGTGGGTTCTGGCGTGGATGTGGCACCTCGCGGTTCCCTGTGTACAGCGCTGTGTCCAGATTTGTACTTCTGTTTCTCGCCTAAGGAAACCAGACCGTCTCCGCCGTCCTCTGTCCGCGGCCCCAGGACCTCGGCCAGGGGCAGGGCTTTGACGCATGGTTTGTTCCCCGAGAAATCGCAGCCGTATTTTTCTTTATAAAAGCAAAAAAACTGAAACCAAAAAACATGCCAACCTCGGAACTGGACCTGGCTGTGCCTTCTTTGTTCTCACTTGCCTGGGCGGCGCTGGGGAGGAGCCCGGCGGAGGGGGTCGTGGTCCTCTGTCCTCAGCACAGAGCTGTAGGGAGGCCCCAGCTTCTGGCAGGGGTGCCAGGTGCCCTGCCACAGAACGGTGTCGCCAGAGGCCCAAGAGCCGGGCAGAGCAGCCAGCCTAGCCGGACCAGATGGGGCCTGGCCTGGCCAGCAGCCCCCAACCTCCCTGGCGCCAGGCTTCCAGGCAGGGTCAGACTGTGATAGATGGCCCTGTGCTCCTGGCAGCTGGGCCCTGTGCCAGCGCCCATGTATCTCACACAGAGCAGGGACGCGGGGCCTCAGCTGAAGGAGCCAAGAGGCCTGCGTGCTGGGCAGGAAGCTGGGGCCAAACCCAAGGGACCAGCCCGCTTGGCACAGGCCCAGGTCAGGGTGGAGGGGTCTGCATTTCTGTTGGTTGGTTTAGTTCGGTTCGGCCTGGTCTGGTCTGGTCTGCCAGTCTCTGATAAGCTCGCTGTGTTGTCCAGGCTGGCCTTGATCCTCCTGCCTCAGCCTCCAGAGTGCTATGGCCTCAGTTGTCTGGAGTAGCAACCCAAACCGGAACCACCCAGGGCTGGCATGGGGATGATCAGACCTCAGTTCGATGTACGGGGAGGGAGCCACTGTCACTGGCCTAGCGGCCACTGCGGACAATAACCAGCAACCTGTGCTTGGCTCCCTAAGGCGGAGGGGGGCAGGTGGAGGACCAGACCCCAGGATGGGCGAGGGGCGGGACAGGAGGACCACACGGGACCATACCACCCCTGGTGCAGGAGACGCTGTGCTTCTTGCTGATGTCCTGTCCCCCTCCACGCTGGAACCCGAGACCCAGATGCACACCTGGCCTTCACCTGGACCCCAGCTGCGCTGCTGTGCGAGGGCTCACTCCTTCCTGAGGTGTCTGTGGCTTTACTACTCCTTCCCCCGTGTCTCCCTCTCCTTAGTAATGTCATCAGTTTCACTCCAAAAACAAGATATTTACTATGAAAAACCTAGCGACAGATGTAAGAAAAGAAGAAGAAGGCCCGTGATCCCACCATGAAAACGTGGGCGTCAGGAAAACGGGGTCTGCCTTTCTCTGCCGCAGGAGGGGCTGACGGCCCCGACAGTAACTCGGATGGGTCCGGCGAGGCAGGTGCCGAGTTGCTTTGGGGTGATGTGCAGCCTGCAGCCCTCCAGCCCCCTGTGCTGGGCTCCTGGTTTTCTAGGGCACTGATCAAAACCCCAAATCCAGAGGGGGACAGTCGTACCCTCCACTCACGCGCTGTCCTCACTGGGGACTCCGGCGCCTGCAGCCCTGAGCAGTGCTGTGACAACGGTGATCTCGCTGTGCTGCCGGCCGCTGCAAGATGGCGCCGTTGGCCAGGGTTCCGAGGACAGCCCTCCCTACGCCAGCCTTGCTTCGGCTCTTAACCTCCTGCCCTCTTCTGGGAATGGCCTGAGCCTTTGAGAGCGGGATGCCAGGCTCTGAGGCCACAGCACCAATCCAGGCTGCAGCCACAGACTCTCCTAGAAGGACACAAGCAGCAGTCAAGTACATACAGGGCACACCCATAATCCCAGCACTGTGGAGGCTGAGGCAGGAGGATCTCGGAACCTCTTGCTGTGGTGGGTAGTTGCAGTCACCTATGAGCAGAGACACAAACATTCAGACCGCAGTGTCGTAGCCATCTAACAAAACAGCAGTGGCTCCCACGGGGGCCGATGACTTTCCCAGCCACAGCCTTGTGTTGTGGCTCGCAGTACTGGTTCCAAATGTGCGTCCCATGCCTTGGAGTGGCTGTCAGGTCCCATCACAAAGTAGCAGGTTGCACCCAGACCTCCCGTGACACTAACTGCCTCCCGCCTGGCGTGCTGACAGCGTGACTCATGAGGCCCGGAGCCCGGTGGACAACGGGTGACAAGTCTCCCGGACAGCTGCACAGCACCCTCTGGTGCTATAAACGCCAACCGGCAGGGAAGACCCTGAGGTATCTCAGCTTGATTTCTGGGTCCAGCAGCCCAAGGTGTCTTCACCCCGCAGGGGAGCAGCCCGGCCCAAGGCAGAATTTTCATTCAACAGACCAGTGACTTCCGCAAGTCCTGCAAGTACAAGCCTTTCACCTGCTGCTTCAATGGTTTAGCACCCTTTCCCCGGGCATGGTGATGCATGCCTGCATTATCAGCACTTGGGAGGCTGAGGCAGGAGGATCGATACAAGTTCGAGGCCAGTCTAGACTGGATGGTGAGACCTTGTCTCATAAATAAGTGAAAACAGCCTTCTTTTCAGTCAAGCCAGCTCCTGCGGGACTGTCAGGCAGGCGACAGGACATTGCACTCGATTCCCCCAGCCCAATGCCGCGCGTCAGTGTGGGCGAGCCGTGTCCCTGTCACTGTCAGTTCCCCACGGCAGCACACACGACACCCAGCCCGCACGGTGAGCAGGTGTTCACAGCCCTCGCTCACACCTGCAGGCCTGGGGTCGTCCCCCTCCGCCTCGTCCTGGGCGGGTTGGCTCCCCTTCCTGCCCAGCTGGCACGTCCATCCTTCGGGCTGTGGTCGGAGCAGCCTGGCACACCTGGACGCCTGGCACTGCTGGTCCCTCTCCCACTGTGCCCTAAGACCCACTGGGTCTATGCCCTAAGGCCGCCCAGCTGTCCTTACAGCTCCCTAAGGGCCAGTTCCCACGAGTCAGCACCACCCACACTGCCACCCGCTGCTTCTCCACCCGGCGAGGGCCACCGTGTCCCAAGCACCTCCAGGGGCGGGTAGCGTCCCACCCACCACTCGTCTGGCTCCGGTCGCTGGGCATGGCTCCCTGGCACCAGCACAGCCTGTGAGGCATCTGTTGCAGAGCTGGCAGCTGCGAGTGTGCGTGCCACGTCTGCAAAGCTTGGTGCTGTGCCCCCCGCAGTTGGCTCTTCGGTGGCTTTGCCGCCTTTCCCAGCGCAGAGGCGGAGGCGGAGGTGGTCTCCAGCCTGCGGGGCTCCCGGCCCCTTCCACCGTCCGGACCAGAGCTCTACAGCTCTGTTGGGGCTGCTTCTGCCACGCCCCTGGCGGAAGCCCTGGGGACTCCTGGCACCTCCGGGACAAGTGGGCATGGGCCCTGGGGCGCATAGCTGCCGTCCTGCTCGCAAGTGTCTCGGCTTGCTCAGAAGCCCCTCGAGCCCTTTACCCCAGCCCCCCTTTCTATCCAGTCACTCGTAGGCGGGTGATGGGAGCAGGGCCGGGCATGGAAATGGGCTGGCACCTGAGGGCCCGAGGGCATCTGCGCTTGCTCCACAAGCGTGGGGCTTGGCACAGCCGCTGTGCGGTTTCCTTGGTGCCCTTGTCGGGTGCGGTACATGTCTCGCCCAGCCACAAGACTCCCCAGACTCCCGCAGTGCTCAGCCCGGCACCCTTGGACCTGGTCCCCCTCCCCGCTCCTTCCGGTGTCCTCGTGTGCCCGCCACGCGTTTCCTGGGTCTCCGAGACCTTGGACACTCTGTGCGATGAGACGGCGGCACGGTCCGGGCCACCTCCCCGGCCAGTGGCTGTGCAAACGGCCCCAGGCTGCGCCGTGAAGGGACCCTCACGGCCGGTGTGACCGGACCCCGCAGCCTGCAGCAGCTGCTCCGTCTGGACATGCGACAGCGGCAGGGGTGGGGCGCCCCTTAGTTATCTCTAATCACCTTCTGCATGTGCCATCTGCACAGCCCACACCACACCGTTAAAGGCCTGGGCCTGGGTGAACCCTTCGTACCTTTCCTCGGTCGCGCATGGGGGCTGTGGAGTCCTCGTGGTCAGCTACGCTACTTGGTATTAACACCGTGCACCGGCAAGACAGCTCCACACGTCACTGCAACCCTGTCACTGTCTCTCCCCCTGAGGGTGAGGCTCTGAGGCTGGGGACCAAGGGGAACATGCACACCTCGTGTTCACCGGTGAACCTCTAAGACCTGGATTCCTCAAGGACAGGCCTGTTCTGATGAGGCTCAGAGCAACGTAGGACAAACTTAGGCTTTGGTCAGAGTCCTTTGTGGTATCCGTCAGCAGGCGTTTCCGTGGGACCCTTCCTTACAACCCGCATCACCCTGCCCCTGACCCCTTGACTCTACCTATCCCGCGTAGTGCTGATAGGCCCTGAGGATCGGGTGGACCAGATGTCTGAGGAAATCAGTCCTCACTCTCCCAGCCCTCGGGGTGGCCTGGCAAATGTGCGGCTCCTGCCTGCTGGCAGTCATTCCTTCCGCTGGCTGGCGGGAGACTGGGCCTAAGGACAGTGCTGAGGGGCCGGTTCAAGGTGCTTAGATCCTGTACGCAAACGGGGCCCCAAGAAAACCCAGATCCCCACTCCCGATGGAGTGATTTTTGTTTTGTCTTATTTTGTTGTTTTGTGGTACTGTGGATCGAACCCAGGGTGTTCCCACTGAGCTGCATCCCCAGCTTCTCTTCTTTTTTCTTTTCCTTTCCTTTCCCTTCCTTTCCCTTCCCTTCCCTTCCCTTCCCTTCC